ATTTGCTGTGTTTTGCTTCTAAACGCCTATCTCAAGAACTGGACGTTCTAGTGCCTAAAGGGCCCTATCTACAGAAAGTCTATAACCTATCCCGGGTCTTCCACCCATTAGCAGTTGTTTTAAAATACTCTAAGTACCTCAAAAAAGTTTTTGTTTGAGACACATGAAATAAAGTGATGCATTACCAACATTCTAATTTTGAGGAGCCAAATAATAAAATAAACATCAGATAACTAAAGTAAAGGAAGACTATAGACATGGCTCCATTACAAGCTCATTTTCAAGCTGATACAGTGGACCTGAATAGGCTGAAAGACGATGAGAAAGACCTGCACATCACAGACTAGTCACCATTGCTCAGTGTAAAAATGAAATAGACTGACAATTAGAAAGAATTAATATGGTATGGGGAAGGTAGCTTGATTTCCCGCGAACGGAAGTTTCCTATCCCTGTAACTCTAATATCTATGCCAAAATGGCTGCGACAATAAAACCACACTTAATAGGTGGGGCTACAAGCTACAAGTTAGGAATTATTACGGTATCATTATGAATATATTTAGCACCAAGAGGTCTATCGAGGTCTAAAGCATGCATGTGCTACCGTAGAGGTGTGGCTTCCTTCTAGTAATCAATTAACTATCACTAGTTTAATACTTAAAAATTTTTCGAGATAGTATTTTCCAATCTTTGCAACATAAATTTGTGTAGTATCAGGGTAAGAAGCTATAGTGCAAATTTGGTGAGAATGAGCAACTGTGTCTCATAATACCAGCTGTCCCACTTTACATGCATATCCTCTCATTTAGATAATTTATATTCACTTTCAATGTCTTATTGGCCATTACAAGGGTGTCATAATCTTCATAAAGTTTACTGTATAGTCTTTCTTTATTTTCCCATAGCTTTCTTTGACCTTATTGTAATTTTCTTTGAGTTGGCGATGAGTTTTTCACTAATTTATTGTAGTGGGCCATTGGTGTATCATAATGATGTGCAGCAAGTTTGTGCTTATTCCATTTTATTGTTTACATTGCTCAAAAATTGGGCCTAGGACCATGGTACAGGGTAATTAAAGAATGGCTAGTAGACTTTTCTGCAACACAGTACTGCAGTATAGGCAAGAGTCGATAGGCTCTTTACTCAACTACTGTTCATGACAAATAAATAATGTGCTCTAGCTTGCTGTAACATAACACTGCATGAGTTAATGTAACTGCCTTAATCCAACCATGCAGGATAACCAAATTATTGGTAATTGGTAATTTGAAGAGCATTGTACATGTAAGCGTACCACCTATATTATTCATGCAAAAAATTGAGTGATTGACCTGTGTTGTTATACATTTACATTACAACCCATATAGAAAAACCAAGGTTGTAGGATCATTGTGGCAACCTTGTAGCAAGTTGGTTGTCACTACCTGGTCACAACCTTGTAAAATCCTTGGATTTGGCACGTTTTTTGGCTTGTGACAACCTTGCCACAACCTTCTCACAATGTACAATGAATTTAATAGAATAACTATAATCTAAAAGACTATCAACACAATTATTATTGACATCTTAATCCCATATAGTTTCAAATGATTTCTAGATACTTGTAATGTATCTATAATACATGTAGCTAATGTATAAAGATGTGGATGTGCATTAATGTTTTCTTTTTTGACTTGTCTCAGTGCTGGTCAATGGTCCCCTTATATATGGTAACAATAGCTTCATATTGTCGTGGGGCGCACTTAATGAAACTTCAGTTTCCTGTCAACCTTCGGACAACCTAGTCACAAGGTTGTTATGTTTGTTACATGTTAGTCACAACTTCAGCACTTTTATACCAGGTTGTTACTAGGTTGCTCACAACTTCATCACTTTTATACAAGGTTGTTACTGGGTTGCTACAACTTTGCGAGGTTGTGACCTGGTTGTAACAACCTTGGAATTTCTATATGGGAATACCTTATTGACTAGCATTAAACAAGAATTTGTGAAACAGAATCTACTGTTATATTATCATTGTTTATAGCAATTTCTATTGACACTTCTATTGATAATCTCATTCAATTTCAAGGCAATTCACATTTGTTTGTAAATAAGATTGTTATATTCACAAAACAGCTTAGAATATATAAGTTATGAATAGGTGATCCTTAGCTAGCCTACTGTTCATACACAACTATGTCCTTCTATCACTTTTTAATACTTCTTTCTCTCTCAATTCAATGCTGTATCAGTCACAATATTATTAATGTGACTGAGAAAAATGGGTTGGAGCAGTTTCTGTGCTACAATGATCCACCAGTAGTGGGGGACACTCTTGTAGTCTTTTATACTAACATCACTCATTACATTAGTGGTAATGTATCATTCTGTATGATCAATACTACCTACTCACTGAATATGACCAGTAATTCATTAGGACCAGCTATCATTAACTGCAATCAAACTGGTAATCACTTACATTGGCCAACCACTGGATTTTCCTTCATTAATGTACACAACTTGACTCTACAAAGGTTAGTATTCAGAGGTTGTGGTGGGTTTTTGAAGAACAGTATGAACATTAATTCTACTGTTTCTCCATTTCACTTCTCTCAATATCATTCAGCTGTGCTACTGTTTCCACACATTAATATTTTATTAATTGAAAATGTTACCATTACATCTTATTATGGTTTTGCTGTACTAGCAATCAACCCAGTGAATGCAACAATAAATGGTTTAACTATTAATGTAACACTGGATCAAGTCAAACCAGTATCTATGTATGCTTACACTGGCAGTGGAGCTCTTATAGTTTTTGCTCGTGATTACATTACTGATGCACATACTGTACTAATCAACAATTCTCTAATAACTAAAAATATTGAAGACTTAAGAAGTCAACATTATCTGAAACGTCCTCACTACGTACAGAGTTATTATTCAATCTTAAGTGCAGCTGGTTTGACTGTACTTTATACTCAAACAAACTATTCTGCTATTGTTTTTGTCCTCAAAACTAATTTTACCAAAAATCAAGGTGCTGTACTGTTCCTCCTTCATTACAACACTAGTTGCGGTAGAACTGTATTTGATGAGATTAGCTTTGTGCATAACATGGCAAAAGTAAAGTCAAGTTTATCATTACTTTTAATGATTGACGTTTCAAATGTTAGTTTTCCACTGTTTTTGAACCGTAGTGTGTTTGATAACAATGTCTTGATTCAACCTGAATCATATCCTTCAAGTGTTGTTTTCATCAGGTTATATAATCCTTTTTTTCAAAGTAGAGTCGATATTAATTTCAGTAATTTAGTGTTTACTAAAACCAATGTTGCAAGGACAGGTTCATGTATTTATGCTATTGATACTGGGGCACAAGGTCAAGTTTTAAACATTTAGTTGAATAACATAGTTGCTTACAATAATTTTAAGACTAACAATTATTATGGCAACACTAAGACTGAGTTCATTAAAACAGTGAATTCCAATCAACTTTATGTTAATGGAGTCAATAATTTTTTGTACAATTTTGGATCTATTTTTGATATCACTGATACAATAGTATATTTGAATGGTGAACTAAAGATTATTGGTAACAATGGTTATGTGGGAACTGGTTTTAAAGTACAAGGTTTAAGTTTTTTCATCCTTTCTAATAAATTGAATGCTACTTTCATTAACAATACTGCTCTTACAATTGGTGGTGCTATATATGCTATTGCTGATGATGATTTTCATAAGTGTATGTTTCAATACAACATTCCAAAAAACATTACTAATATTTTAATGACCTTTATCAATAATACAGCAGCTGAGGCAGGTAGCTCCATCTACAGTAACAAATTATATCAATGTGATTGGTTAAATCCGCTTTACCTGATAGATTATAACACAATATTTTCATTTTCTTCTAATCATCGAAACATTTCTATGCCACCTACTTCTCTGTGCTTGTGTGATCTATCTTGCTATGATGAATATAATTTGTGTGCTTTTGTATGTCCATGTCAAAATATTGGACTTCAATTAGCTGCAGTGTACAACAGTAATGTACATATAAAAAAATATGGCTATGCTGCAGTAACTTTTTTATTGATAGATCGTGATAATGTTCATTCTGTTCCTGCATGGCAAGTATTGGCT